AGGCAGGGAGGGGTGCCAACACTCTCCTCGGGCCTCTAAGCAAGTGGGGGGGGAGAGACAGCTTCATCCTCCTAGAAGGGGAGGATGGGAGGGGGCTGGGTCGGGTGCAGCCAGAGCCCTCTGGACCATGGTGCCCTTTACCACCACCCGGAGTGCACAGCCTGGTGCTCCAGCAGTGATTTAAGGGTCTTTGGCTCCAGCTACTGCTGAAATGGCAGTGGCAGTGGGTGAGAGCCCCAGGCCCCTTTGCGTTGCCCCCGTCGACAGGCCTAGATGCTGTTTCCCTTTATATTCCTTTTGCCTTGTGGCTTCTACTTCCTTTGTCCCAAACATAAGCTGCTCAGCACACGGCTTGGAAGGCTTAGAGTTCCATCCGTAGACATGCCCCTACGTGCCTTGCTGAGACATATCCGTTGCCTATTCTTAATGGGTTAGTAGAATAGTTGATTTTCCTTGATGTGCCATCAAACAGGCTAGGCAGTGCATTATCAAACTGTCTGTGGGTGTTACCCAGAAGCATGTTGTAATACGGACATACTGTATATACATACCCAGAATCCAAAAACGGGGGAGGGGGGGTACAAACATATGAGATTATCCCATTTGGCAGATTGTAACAATTTTGCAGATACCTTACATGGCATAACCCATTGTCATTCTGTAGTATTGATACTCACACTGTTCTAAAGCGTCCCCCAAATTCCATACAGTGTCACAATGGGGTCTGCATCTGAGATCCAGAACTAGGAATAGTGAGCACTCACTGCCCAGACCCAGAGAGCTTAACAGCCTGTGAGATTCAGCAGTTGGATCCCCTGACACCAGACTGGTGTCTGTTTTGAGAACAGGGCTGGACCGGGATCTAACAAATATTACGTAAGATCAAACAAGAGTTAATAGTAAAAGGAACCACTTACATTGAGGTCTATCAAGAACCACACACTGCAAAAAAGCAGTCACATGATCATATCCTAAGAACCCTAGTCCTGCCTTCTCTTCTTTATTATCATTTATCTAATTATATCTACGTTAAGGATCACTGATTCAGAGGAAGAAGTACCATATATTCCCACCTCAGGAAGTCTGGGCTATTCCAGATCTCGTACTCCTGTCTGTAAAGTGCCACCACACCTGGGTGCTGTATAAATTATATCTTGCACAAATCTTTCTCCGGGGGCTTCTACAGTCACATTTTGTTGCCATTCTATGCTGACATCCCTTTTCCTCTTCTCTGCCACCTCTAGGGACATGAAGCCTGACAACATCTTACTGGATGAGCATGGTAAGTGCCCTTGTTTCACGGTAACTGCTGGTCTGGGCTCCAGCCCCACAGTGGAGGGAGGGGGGGGAGAAATGGGATGGGGTAGGGACTGTTGAGGAATGGGGCTTCAGCTGCAGGGACTGCCCAGGAACAGGGCTTCAACCCCACGGCTGGAGCCACATGGGCAAGGGGCTGAGCACCATGGCTGGGGCCACCCTTCATCTCCAAGTCCAGGGAATGGGTCTGTAGCCAGCGGTGGGGGCGGAGCACCAGAGAAAGGGGTTTCAGCCCTTGGGGGGGGGGATGCCAGCATTCGGGGCTTCAGCTCCATGTTCTGGAAAGGTTGGTAGACTTCCCCCCCTTCTTTAGGGTGCCATGGGAGGGAAGACTGGGAAGGGTGCTGGTGTCTGCTTTATTGCCAGCCACAAATGGGAGGCTGCTGCAGTTGTGCTGACTGGGGAACTTAGGGACCAGCAGAGGGCATGCAAATATGAGACATTTAGCCCCTTTAAAAAAAAAAAGTCATGACGCCTGGAAGACAGATTAAATACTGGGTGGTCCCAGTAAAAACGGTACGGATGGTCACTCTATGTGGCTCTCTTCTGCATTAATGTCCCATAACGTACCTAGTATTCTTAAATACATCCAGTTACTGTAATTCAGTGACATTTCAATAAGTCATTATTATAGGTGACCCTGAATGGTCTAGAGTTTATTGCCGTTTCTCATTAGCAAATCCTGTTTTCAGCTGCTTATAACTTTGTCACATTTCACCCATTTGGTCTGAAATTTCCCACCATGGATTATGTAATAATAAACTGTATTATAATGCAGATATATAAAGCGGGGAAAAGAGGTTGCACAAACAACCTTAATTCTGTCATTTCGTGACACTTGAGTGCTTGACTTTGCAACCTTAATGTTCTTTTAATGTAGTTTTTTGTTTAAAATGTGGATATAGATTTTACTTAATCCTTTCTCAGGCAAAACTCCAGATGAACACTTATGTCTCCTATATTAGTCTCTACTCCCCGCCCCTGTCCTCCTTCCCCCCCCAGTAAAATTCCCATTGAATTGCTTTCAAAAAGTTGAATATCTGCTGAAAATCTTTGTAACTGACTCATTTGTGAGAAATCTTTATTAGCGTTTGCAATGAGCTACCTGTATGTCAACGTGCTGTTGTACAGAGCATGGAAGTCATAATCACTTTGCAGGTTTGATAAGTTTTGGTGCAGAAGCTGCAAATCCTAGAGAACTGCCATTGTTTTAGCTTGTAACTAGCTTTGTTTGGCATCATCACACCGTGTCCAGAGTGTATCCGTTTTACATATGACCTCTAATTTTGAGTGCTGGGTAATTATTTATTTAAGCGCTGTCAGGACAAATTTTCTTGCCTTACTTTACAAAAGCACATTTCTGCCTGACTCACTCAGGGATTTCCTTCTGCCTCCTGAGACAGGTGTGCATAAATACATGGACCAGATTCTTTCTCTCTCTCTCTGAACCCTTCCAGTCCAGCCCATTTGCATTGCCTAGGTGGCACAAGTAGGTCTATTGGCAATATCTAAGAAGGCTTCTAGTGGTGGGGAGCTGCCAGCTAGCATTGTGGTTCCTGCGTTACCCTCTCCTTGTCTTGGAGAGGGGAAGCCGACCTAGGCAAGGCAATACTGTGTAGGCTAGTTGACAGAGCACTGCTCCATTCTGGCAATTCTGATCGAATTGATTGTCCCTAGGTGACTGTTGCCAATGGTGACAGAGGCTACTTTGGCTTATGCAGCTTGAGCAGTGAAAGGCAGATAACCAGGCTTCATAGTGGCTTGCCCGCCTCTGCATTCTGAGCCAGTCTAATTATGACCCCCTAATAATTTTGTTGCCTTTTCTGAACCTTTTCCAATTCCAATATAGCTTTTTTGAGATGAGGCGATCACATCAGCACCCAGTATTCAAGATGTGGGTGTACCATGAATTTATAGAGAGGCAGCGTGATAGCTTCTGTCTTCTTATCTATCCCTTGCTAAATGATTCCCAACATTTCTGTTCGCTTTTTTTCATTGAGTGAATTTTTTCCAAGAATTATCCACAATGACTCCAAGATCTCTCTCATGAGTGGTAACAGCTAATCTAGATCCCATGATTCTATGTGTATAGTTGGGATTATGTTTTCCAATGTGCATTACTTCGCATTTATCAACATTGAATTTCATCTGCCATTTTGTTGCCCACTCACTCCATTTTCGGAGATCCTTTTGAAGCTCTTCACGGTCTGCTGTGGACTTAACTTTCTTGCACAATTTTGTATCATCTGTAAATTTTGCCACCTCCCTGATTACCCTTTCTCCAAGTTATTTATGTTGAATATGTGTTGAATGGGATTGGTTCTAGTACAGACTCCTGCAGCACACCACTAGTTATGCCTCTCCATTCTGCAAACTGACCCTTTATTCCTGTCATTCGTTTCCTGTCTTTTAACCAGTTACCAACCCATAAGAGGACTTTCCCTGTTATCCCATAACATCTTACTTTAATTAAGAGTGAGGGATCTTGTCAAAGACTTTCTGGAAATCTAAATGCACTATATCCACTGGATCCCCCTTGTCCATACGCTTATTGGCCCCCTCAAGGAATTCTGGTATTTTGGTGAGGCATGATTTCCCTTTATCGAAACCATGTTGATTCTTTCCCAACAAATTATATTAATCTATGGCTGCATCTAGATTGGCAAGATTTTGCGCAAAAGCAGATGCTCTTTACTGTACAAAATCAGTGGTTCTTGCGCAAATACTCTGACGCTCCCGCTCAGGGATAAGCCCTCTTGAGCAAGTATTCTTGTGCAAGAGGGCCAGAATAGACAGACAAGTTAATTTCGTGCACAAGAAAGCCCGATGACTAAAATGGCCATCGGAGCTTTCTTGCGCAAGAGAGTGTCTACACTGGCACGGATGCTTTTGCGCAAAAGCAAATCTTTTGCGCAAAGGCACATGCTAGTATAGACACGCTCTTGCGCAAATACTTTTAATGGAGAAACTTTTCCGTTAAAAGTATTTGCGCAAAATCATGCCAGTCTAGACGCAGCCTATGTGTCTAACAATTCTGTTCTTTATTATAGTTTCAACCAGTTTGCCCAGTACTGAAGTTAGATTTACCAGCCTGTAATTGCCAGGATCACCTCTATATCCCTTTTGCAAAATTGGCATCACATTAGCTATCCTCCAGGCATTCATGCAGAAGCTGATTTAAAAGATTACAAACCATAGTCAGTAATTTCACATCATAGTTCTTTCAGAACTCTGGTGAATGCCATCTGGTCCCAGTGACATTACTATAGGGGAGGGTTTGCCCCAAAGTAAGTCGACAGAACGCGGCAGTTTTGTCAACAGTGGTAAACCTCATTTTATGAGGAAGAATGCCTTTGTCGACAAAGATCTATTGACAAAAGATGTGTGTGGACGCAGGGAGACAGTTCTGTCGACAAAAAAGGCCTCCAGGAAGAAGCCCTGGTGGACAATCTGGCCTTTACAGGTACAACACCTCTGTGGTCCTGGCCGCAGCCTCTTAAAGGCAGACGCACCCAGGCAGGCCTTGCTATCTGGCAGCTAGCCAGAGCACCCATGCCAGCCATGGCAGTCATGTCCCAGCCTCAAGGTCCCCCTAGCCCTTCTTGGGACAGAGGCGAGGACCCACCCAGGGGCACCTAAAGGCAGGCACCAGCCTGATCAGGGCTAGAAATCAAAAACATCCTGGAGCTCGGGTCCCAGGAAGAAGCCCTGCAGGCCCTGCAAACACACCGCAGGAATATGGACATTTATGAGCGCCCAGCCCAGGGACTGGCCACCAAAGGGCATCACCCCCGCACCATGGCACAAGTCAGGGCCAAGGTAAAGGAGCTGCGGCAGGGATATTCCGGGGCCCAGGACCAGAGCTCCCGCTCCGGGGCAGCCCCCGAGACCTGCCTTTACTATGAGGAGTTGGAGCAGAGCCTGGGCGGTGGGGAAGCCCAGACTCCACTGTGTGTGGTGGAGTCCGGGTTACCCCACCACATCGTGGACTGACCCTTCCTGAGGGAGGAAAATCAGGCAGGAGAGGCGGGAGAGCTGCACCAGGAGAAAGAGGAGGAAGAGGAAGCAGCAGACACCTAGACCCCAGAGGCCTCCCAGGCATCCGTGGACATCGGGGAGGGAACATCAGGTGAGTGCTTTGAGGGGTCACCACACACGGGCGGGTTGGCAGTGTGGAGGGCCAGCTAGCCCCATTGCCACCGTGGGGCCCCCGTGAGGCTTTCAGGCTGCTGCCCAATTCACACACGGTGTCATGTGTAACACCCCTGAGTCTCCTGTCCAAAGGAGAGCCTCTGACAGCCACAGCATGCCCTCGGGGACAGCAGGGGGTGCACACAGAGAGTGATCGTCTCCTCCTATTTTCCTCCACAGCCGGCCCACCCCCCCACCATCCTGGACCCGTGGCACCCGCAGGCACTGGAGGGTCTACATGGACCTGCTAAGGGAGCATGTTGAGGTTCTGTAGGACCTCAACAGGACCCTCCAGCAGAGGATGTAGGCAGAGGCCGAGTGGCGCACCAGACTGCTGGATGAGCTGGTCCACCTGCGCATGGAGATCTGTGCCACAATGAGGGAGCTCTTTGCCTCGCCTGCCCCTTTCACAGGCACCGCTTCTCCTGCACGCCAGGCCCCTACTCACCCTGCTCCTCCAGCCCCCTCTTCCCCCCTTCCCCCTCTTCCCTCCCTGCTCCTTCAGCTCCCCGCCAGCCCCTCCTGCTCCTGAGCCCTCACAGGCCCAAGAGCTGCCCCCCAGTCCTGCCCAGGTCAGGACTAGATCTCACTCCACCTGATCCTAAGACCCTGGCGATGCCAGGACAGAGGACAATGGCAGGACCCTGCGCTCAGGGAAGCAGCGGCCCTCTTGAACTTTCCTCCCCCCAGGTTTTCAGTCCCCTACCACCCCAGTTAAGGGACATTTGAGTTATGTTACAAAGTCTTTATTTTTGACAGACACATTTATTGTGC